AGGAATAATTTGCTTAATTGCATGAAACCATCCTGAGAGCTGGCTTAGCACAACTGTCCTCCATTTCCCAGCCTGGTTCCCCAGGGCAGTGGGGGTGAGCCGAGAGGAGCTGACAGGGCACCAGAGCTGAGTGTCACTGAGGCAGGGTCAGCAAACCATGGATCATGGGCCAGCTCTGGCCTTCTGCCTGCTTTTGTACGGTCTGTGAGCTAACAATGGTTTTTACACTTCTAAATAAATAAAAAACAAATTTTGTGACATGAAAATTATATGAACTTCAAGTTTCAGTGTCCCTAGCATTTTGTTGGCACACAGCCGAACGCACCGGCTGGTCTGTCTCCGGCTGCTGTCACACTACAACAGCCCGAGACAGACCCCGGGGCCAGAGGGCCTCAGATGTTTACTATCTGGCCCTTTAGGGAGAGTCTGCAGACCCCTGACTTAAGAGCTGGCTAGGCCAAGGTCATCCTTAACAGCATTCCACAGCAGCTTGGATCCCAGGTACTTAAAAACTATTTCAATTAACAAGTTTATCTTTATAATCAAGTCCTCTCAAAGAAACGACCTCAAGTTTGAGCTTCGAAATTGTGGCAGGTAGAAATCATATAAGACTCAGCCAAGAATTTAGTAATGGCCCCTTTTGTTTGGAGTAATTTGCCTAAAAAGATGAAAATAAATTTCCCTATTCTACAACTTTCTCTAAATTCAGCAAGTCACATTAGGAGTCAGTCCCATCCTGTGACCGCCTGCTGGGGACCCCAGAAGAGGGCCCGACCGTCAGGCTTATCTCTTCAAAAGCCTTGCACTGAGTGGCCTCCAAATGCTATCACTGACCGAGGGAGGTGAGCTGGAGAGAAAGCCCCAGGAAGTGTCGGTGAGCTTTCCTGAAAACAACCAGTGTTCTGAAGATGTTTTTGTTTAGGAGCTCCATTTGGGACCCTGCTACCCTTCCCTGCTATCCTTTCTGAAGGAGGAAGGAGAGCCAGGGAGCTCTGCGCATTCCCAAGGCCAACGGGCGGGTGAGGTTGAGGCACCCAGCAAGAACTGAGCAGGACTGAGGCTTCCTGCAGCTCCTCCTCCCCCTTCAGATTTGCATATGATCATAAACCAGCATGGTTAGTTTGACTACAAACACAAAGAGTCTCTTTATGGGAGTCTTCTATAAGAAACATCAGTGACATAGGCTATCATAAATAAAACAAAACGGCACCTGTTAAATTCTAGAGTTAACTCGGCAGCAAACATGCGATGGGGAGAAACCACTTGGAAGGGACATTACTCAACTTAGAGAACTAAAAAGCACAAAGAACGCACTGGCACCTGCATTTGGATTTCGCGCAGAGAACAAAGGAGCATCATTTCACTGAGCTGGAATCTCTTCAGGCTGGGTTCAAGATCCAGGTAAAAGAGACATTTGGAGCAGGTAACATGACCTCGAAGGCGGTGCTTCCCAGTCTGACACCGCAGCACCTACAGAACTGGCTGAGACTGGACAGCACCCTCGGGGGAGCAGACAGGGCAGCCAGCAGGTGACCCCAGGCACCGAAGCCAGCGCAGGTGGCCCTGAGGGCCGAGGTGCACTACTGCAGACGCCGGGCAGCTCTGCTGAGGTGTTCACTGTAGTCACCCAGGGCAGGTGTGGGGTGGGGGTCAGGTTACTCTGCATTTCTGAAATTACGGTGACCTCCAAACCACTGGGTCCTTGGCCCAGCAAACAGGTGCCATGCTGGGGTCCTCCACCTTACTCATTCCGAAGGTCATTGTGGTTACACTGACTTCTGGGAAAGGTGACACCTCTGGGTTAGCAGATTTGTTTGACATTCAAGGGCATGCTGGGTGACATGGATGGTGTCCCCCTTATGGAGGCCACTCACAGCACCTTCCTAATTGAGGCTAGAGTAGAAAAGGTATGCATTTTGGGGGAATGCCACCCAAAATGTGGACAGAATGAACTGAAGCAAACACAGCATCAGAGAGCAACTCAACAGCAGGCTGGGCCCAAAGCCCAGAGGAATAATGGGTATCAGTGAGGGCACGCACAGGCAGCTGGCACGTGAGAGCAGACATGGGAGCTGCTGAACAGGCCACTGAGCTGGTGTCTGAAGGCCACGCTGGCGTCCCCACTGCAGGAGACCGAGGCGAGCCTCCCGCCACAGCAGAGCTCCATGCCCTCTAGGGCACCAAGGAATCAACCCCAAGGATGCAAAGCCCTTATTATCAAACCTTCATTAACTGGAACCTAATTAGGACTTTTAAGGGCTTGTTTTTCTCACTTTAAAGGAAACATTTTCTCTTAAGTCAGCATGGTGTAAATGGAGGGATAGTGAACAAAGAGTTAGCTATCTGGACTTGCATGTAAGCGACTTACTTAACCTTTGGGGGCTTCAGCTTTCTGATTTATAAAGTGAGAAGGCTAGTAAGATGTGAATACCGAAAGCTATTGGTATTTTCAGCAATACAATTCTGCTTCTAAGATAGGGGTGTCGAACTCATTTTCAGCAGGGGCACATCAGCCTCGTGGTTGCCTTCAAAGGGCCGAATGTCATATCGATTTCTTCACAGTTAAGGAGCAGTTACATTTATACAGTCCTAAAATTATTTCAGCCCTTTGAAGGCCATTGTGAGGCTGATGGGGCCCTCAGGAAAGGTGAGTCTGACACCCCTGTTCTAAGACATGCCAGCAGGTCAGTGTCAACCTGTGACCATTCTCCCACTGATTTCCTTCCCATGTGAGCTGAGATCACGAATGGTCTTTTATAGTTTTTAGAGTATTTCACATGTTTAATTCAATCAAGCCGCATAACAGTCTGATGGGGTAAGGCCTCAAAAATGCTGCAACAGACACCCTTTCACTTGATGTGCTTGAAGAGGTGGTTGGTTAGTTATCCCAGGAGCTGCCCAAAGACGGGAACCACACAGAGAGATACATGTATAACTAAACATTTGTTTTAACTTATGGAAATGCACATTAACTATTTTCTGAAATGTAAATGTTTTCAAGAGTGTGCTGATTGGATTTCTACATACCTTTTTTTCTGGAAAAAACTGCACTTGTAATTCATTGTATATAATTTATAGTTTTTGTGTCTTTAGAGGAAAGTTAGACATTTGTAAGGCAATCTGAGTATAGAACTCTTCCTGAATTTCATAATTTTGCCCTACTCTTTCATCACTGTCACACCCAAAGAGCAGAATTTTTGAAGATTCATCTTCATCCAGTCTTTCCAAAGCATTTCGTTTTCACGGAAACGGCAGCTTGCTTCCGTGCGCTCTCACCAGACCAGTTTACCGGGAAGTTCTCGGGACTGCACCAGGGCGTGTGCAGCATGCCCTGGCACTGGTCACCGTGTCCTGCAGAAGGAACGGGGGCCCTGGCTGAGAGAACCATGGGGTGTCCAGGCAACATGTTTGGGGGGGCAGGTGCAGAGGCTCATCTGAAGCCTGGGGAGGGAGGGCAGGGCAGAGAGTTTGGCATCAGCAGCATCCAGTTAGCGGTTAAAATCACAAGAGGTGAAGGACTCCTCTTCAGGGAGGGAGTGTGGGTAGAGGATAAAAGGGGGTGAGCTGGACCCCAAGGAATGCCAACTCTCAAAGGGTGAGCAGAGGAAGAGCTTCTTGCAAGGGGACCAGCAGGACCTTGCTGGAGATGAATGAAGGGAAGCAGAGCACCAGGAAGTGGGGAGCTTCAAAGGGCCAAATGTAGGACCGAAGCCTGGAAGAAACAGCTGAGAAGCATCCTTGGATTTGACCACCAGGCAGCTACTGCTGAGTGAGGATTTGAAAGTATTTACACCCCCCGAATGATCTCACTGAAGGAAGGCAAGGCTCTTTCGTCTCGCATGGCTTTGGTCCCTCTCCTACCAGACTTCTTGTCATCAGGAGCCACTCTGCCCACTGTCCCCTCACTAGTATTCTTGTGCAGAGAGGCCTGCTCAGGCTGCCTGACCCAGGCCAGGGGAGGGGTAGCAGGAGGACTCCAGAAGACACCCCGACTCTCCAGAGCCCTGGCAGAACAGATGCACCCTTACCTGAGAGCTGCTGACTGACTCCCAGGCCCATGGCAGCAGCTGTTTGCAGTGCTTGCTGAGAAGCGTTTGTGCGAGTTTGTCACCAAAGGCAGGATGAAATGAAATCTTCAATTAGAAGCTTTCAAAACAAGGCCTTGGAGACCTCTCCAGGCTGAAGGGCCCAGAGAAAGAATTCTTGGTGAGTCTGCACTCTGCCGCTGGTCTGGTAAACAGCTTCGCCAGCCAACCCTGAGGCCCCGCTCCTTCTGTTCAGCACCCAGAGTCCCCACGCCAGATAGTGACCAGGGAGGGAGAGTGAGTGCCCCGGGATTTGCGTAAGAGATATAAATGAGAAGAAAAATTGCACGATACGGAACACAGGCTCTACTCTGTATGTCCTGACAAGTAACAAGGATGGAACTCCTGGATCTCAACAGTCACTCACCGGTGGACGTGGCAACTCAGCCAGGTCCCAGAGGGTATGGCTGGGATGCTCAAGAGCAATCAGTGCCACTGCGGGCCATCGCTTCCTTCCACAGCCACCGTTCCACAGCCTCCCCAGTTCCTTGCTCCTTGAGCTAGTAGTAATCTATGATTTGCAAACATATAACTCTTTTGGGAAGACAAGGAATAAAAAGATACTTTTTTCCTTTAAGCCCCACAATTAGATACTGGTCAACTCCTTCCTCAGATGGGAGGTAGAAACCGAGGTTAGGACCAAACGCTGGACACGGTCTTACTGGGTTAGGCCAGCCAGGGTTTTGGGTCTCAGAGCCACCGAGGCAGACCCCACCCTTCTGCCTGGGCTCGCAGTGTCAGGCCTCCTGCGCCCGTGGAGCCTCCTTCCCTCCTGCCTGCCTCAGCGAACACTGCTTCAGTGCAGCGGCTGGGGAAGGGAGATGGGGGGAAGGGCATGCCACGCTGCATCCCAAGCACACCGGCTTCAGGCACAAGTCGGCCTGTTGTCCGCACTGAGAAAGGGAAGTGACCAACCTGATCCAGACGCAGCGCGCCGTCCAAAAACCGCTGCTTGCGTAACTCCTTTGCGATTCTGTGCAGACTCAAGACCGCCTGGTGCACCTCCTCACTGGTGTGCTCCGGGGAGATGGCGGGCAGCTCCTCCTCCGGGATTCTCTGAGTCGGGTTTTCAATCATGCTCTGTGCATGCTCGTAGCTCAGTTTGGTGCAGGAGCGGATGATGGTCCGGCCAAACCATTCACCTAGGATCTGCAGAGGAACAGATACTGAGGTTCTTCTTACATGTAACCCTTCGTCCATACACACTGCACTGACTCCCTGCTCAGAACAGCGGCTGGGCACCAAGACTGACCTGATGGGGAAGCTGCCGCCTGCCGACTCTATCAGACATGGACTTAACAGGCATGGAGGTCTACAGAAGGTCTCCGAGCAGGAGACTTGAGGGGAAGGGCCTGTGGAGGCTTTGTCATTAGCCTGGTTGAGAGGTCATCAGTGCCAAAGATGGAAGAGGGAAAAAGGAGTAGATGACAAAGATGTGATGGGAGGGGAATCCGTGGCTAAGTGATGGACCGGATGTTGGGTGAGGGAGGAGGCGGGGCCGCTGACAGAAACTGAGACCAGAATGGAGGTAGAAGGGGAAAGCCAATTCCAGCTTGTTCCCTTGGGGGCATTTATGTGGACACAAAGGCCCAGAACAGCGTTTCTCAGCCTCAGCACTACTGGGCTGATTCATTGCTGAGGGGCTGTCCTGTGCATTGAAAGATGCTTAGCAGTGCCCTTGAACTCTGCCCATTAGGTGCCGGTGGGCCCTCTCGCCGGCCCCCTGAGTTGACAACCCAGACCATCTCCAGACACTGCCCGCGCCCTGGGGTAGCTCAGCCCAGCTTCCAACCCACTGGGCTCGAGGCAGATGCAAACCAGCTGAGGGGTGGGGTCACCACTGATTTCCACCTTATCCTTTAAATTTGTCTGTATTTTCTATAACGAGCACTTACTACTTTTAAAACAGAAGTAAAATAAGCAGTAAAGTATCTGGGGCACTCCTGGGCCTGAAGTGCAGGGAGGAGACCTGGGTGTGGCCCTGGGGCACTGACTGGTCTATAGGTGGGTAGATGGTCTCCAGGGAACTTGGACTGAAAGAAAGAGAAGGCGAGTAGGAGAGTTGGGGCTAAACTGCCTACCAATGCCTCCACATTAGGGAACAACAAGAAAAGCCAGGGGTGAAGGGGGGGGTGGGGGGGGATGAAAACAAACGAAGAACAGGAGGACTCAAAGAGACAGGAGAAGAGCAGGCGTGCTCAACGTCGGGAGAAGCAGGAGAAAGTGCTGCAGGGAAGGAGCGCGCAGGAGCACTGACAGCCCGCAGCACTCCCCCACGAGACAGGCACGGCACACACTTCCCACCCACAGCAGCTGAGCGACCACACAGTGACACACAAGGCAGGCATTTTACTACCCTCATTCTGCGAACGAGGGAACTAAGGCCAGACACATTATGTCACCTGCCAGAGAATGAATGGCAAAGCCAGCAACTGACCCCAGCAGTCCAGCCCTGGGGTCCGAGCTCTGAACCCTGAGAGTACGTCCAATGCCACCTGGACATCGAGGAGGATAAAAACAAAGGAAAAGTCCTTGTCCTTAGCATTTGCTTATTGGTAATCTTTAGGAAAGCTATTTTAGGGGGACATGTGGCACAGGAGGGGTAGACGTCAGCATGTGCTACGGATGAGTCACAGAGATGCTGTCACAGGGCAGCCAGAGCTCTGCCCTCCATTAGCCAGGCTCTCTCTCTCTCACATACACACACATGCGCCACTCAGCAGCATCTTCTGTGTGTGTCCCATGTGAAAAAGTGTGAGAAATCTGGGGTTAAGGATGGGGGAATGGGAGCCATGGAGGCCACGTGGGTATGACAGACTCCACAAAGACGGAAGGGCAGGGATGTTATTTGGAGGGTGAGGGAATAAGCCAGTACAAAAGGCAGACTGATGATGCAGAATGAACGGATTCTGGGCCAAAGGACCCCAGGAGGTGACCCACCCATGAGAGAGGAGCTGGGCCTGGAGGGGAGGCAAGAAAGGCGATCTGGAGTGGGAGACGAGGGGCTCTGAGAGCACCCAGGCCAGACAGTCCCAACCTACAGAGTCAAGTGCAAGGCAAAGAACAAGCGGGCCGAGTGGGATTCAAGGGCAGGGGGAAACGGAAAAGCTCTGCCACCAAGGCCACGGGCAGTGTGATGCACGAGCAAGGCAAACCCAGGTGCTCGAGTGGCAGGGAGGGCTGGGGCGAAGGGAGGGCAACCAGTGCGAGGAAACCTTTCAGCCTGGGCTGCCACACACCCCACCGCCCTCCTTTCCACCAGCCAACCTGTTCTGCTCACAACTTCCAGGGCAATGCTTCCCTAAAAGGGTATCTGGAGGGCCCACAGGCGTGCCCACTGGGATGGGGGAGAGCCAGTGCCCAGAGGCTGTCCATGCCTCTGACACCATCACCTTCCCTCAGAGGAAGCACCAAACTCTTAAAATGGCAGCCAGCATCCCAGGGAGAGAGTGGTAGCAACCACTCGCATTTTTCTTTGATTCAGTGCAAAGAGCCTCATTATAATAGTCTTGGATCTATAACATCACACCTTAATTTTTCTTAGAATAAAAATCCTCAAACCACACTTTCTGGATTATGCCAAGAACTGCTCCTTTCCAAAAATACACGCAACGTGAACAGCATGCTTGGGTCTCTGCTGTGGTAGGCGGGCCCTGACCGGCTCGCAGGAGGCGTGTGCCGATGGTGGCAGACGTGGCAGAGCGGGTTCCAGGCCCCGCCCAACATCCCAGGGGGAGAGCAGCAGGCACAGGTCTCCGGGAGAGCTGCGTGCCCTTCCATCACATCCACACTTCCCGAAAACGCCCTGTCGACTGGCTGCTCCCACCTCCTCTAAAATGACAGGCAGGGGCCTACTGGCTCTGGAGGTCTGGCCTGTTTCCTTTCCTCCCTTCCTTTCCAAACCAAGCCAGCCCTCCCCTTCCTGCGCACATCCACCTGTGTCAGCACGTGCCTAGGAAAGCTCTCCGCCCAGTTCCGCCCTCTCTCCCACACACTGCACAAACTCTCTCGTGGATTCTCTCAGGCGTCCAGGTCACAGGATGTCTGGTCTCCTGGGGTCTGTGTCCCTTTGCCCTGGGGGACACAGGCAACCACCACACAGGCCAGAGAGAACCATGACTGGGCATCTCTCTTCATGTAACCTGCCGGGTTAAGAATTACTTTACAAATCTAATGAGAGCCACAGACACAGAGAACAGACTGATGGTTGCCAGAGTGGAGGCGGGTTCTGGGACTTTGGGAAAGAGGTGAAGGGATTAAGAAGTACAAACTGATAGAAAAGTCACGGGGATGTAAAGTACAGCATCAGGAATACGGCCAATAGTATTTTAATAACTATGCATGATGTCAGGTGAGCACTGGAAATATCAGGGGCAACACTTTGTAAGATATATGAATGTCTAATCACTGTGCTGTACACCTGAAACCAATACAAAATAATACTGAAAGTAAACTGCAGTTGAAAAATAAAATTGAAAAAATCTAATGAGATTTCCAAGCCTCTTCCCCTGAAATACCTACGCACACAATTTTGCGGTGAGTTCCGAGAGGCCCCTGAGCCCCTGCCCCTGCCCCGCCCGTGGGTCCCGGCTCTCAGCAGAGCTCAGTCGCCCCCTCTGCGCCCACTGGCTGCAGTGCTGAGCTCAGACCAGAGCCACTTTCATCCCGACCTATTCCTGAACTTTACTATCTGTAGCCTGGCAACCTTGGAAGCCTGTGCTCCTTATGAAGCCTGCGCCATCTCAGTGTGAGCCCCTCTTCCCGGTGGGCACCTCTGCTCCTTCAGCTGTCTCCTCACCCACCAACCCCCATCTCGCCAGCACACGGGGACACCGCCGGCCCTGAGACGGCAGGGCTGGCGAGCAGTTTCCTGTATGGCCTGCATCCCAGAAAACCCGCTTTATGAACATGCAGAGGCTGATGTGAAAGTTCTGAAGAGCCATCAAGAACTTCCCGGACCTGGGACAGTGACCTCAGTAGCAGAATCCATCCTGCTTTATCTTGACACAGCCCAGTGATTCTGGGAATCACTCTGACACATGGACCAAAAAGAATTCTTCGGCCAGGAAAACTAGCCTGAAACCGCCCTGTGGGGAGGGCACAGAGGATGCCCCCTGCAGCCCTGCAGAGCAGGGCAGCAGGGAAAGAAAGGCCCTTCTGGAAGGAACACCTCATTAATTTCCAATTTGGAAACTGCATTCCCATCAACACCCATCCACAACCAGGGCCAGTGGCAGAAGACAAAAGGACAAAGAGTATTTCATGGAAAAAGTAAAAAAGCCATGAGGCGTTTCATAAACAAAACCCTTCAGGCAGATCATGTCCTTCCTCTTCCCTTTGCTGAGTCACGGGGTCCGGGCCCCTCTCTCTCTGCAGGCGGCGGGCTCCCCACATGCACTCCGGGCACCACTGCTTAGAACGTCGGTCAGTTGACACGCAGTGCCGATGCCTGCTGAAGGCACACGACTGGGGACGGCTGGGGACACCTGGTCAGAAAGGAGCGCGTGATCGTGGCCTCAGGACCTGCAGGGAACGACGCAGCACGCGGCCCTGTCCCCAGCCCGAGCCACTTTTCACAGTCCCTCTGCACATCTGGGAGGGCCGCGCTCGTCTCAGAATCTAATGGTACTTTTATTCTGTTTTAGCTAAAGGTCAAATAATAGAGATAGGGGGTCAAGTAAAGAAAATGAAGCATACCTCATATACCAACTTCCTATATATTATAGATACCAAGTTGTGAGGATACATAGCCTTTGAAATTAATGTTATTTAAATATATTTTAAAATGTATGTTCTTAAAAAATGTCAGCGCTTCATTAAAAAAACTCTGATTCAAAAAACTGTTCATGGGGTGAATTTGTAATTTTAAGTAAGTAGATGCAAGATTACTTCTACAGCAGCTCTGGGTTTCTGTAAATAAAACACTTACTTCAAAAAACTGTATTAGGAAGAAACATTTTCCTGACTGGAATAAAGCCAGTTTGGGGTGGCCAGGGCTGGGCTCCAAAAATGTGTTACTCTTTCCTCATCTTCAATATCTCCTTTTCTATTCACCTTCCCACGCAGCCTAGGACAAACTCCAACGTGTCTCATCTGCTTATTTAAAAAATAAACAGGAAAAATATCTCAAAATAATTCTTATTTTTCTC